GGGGGGGGGACGCCGCGACAAGGCTGCTGCTGCTGCTGCTGCAGCGCTGTCGTCTCGCCTCTCCCCGTTCTCTTGTCGCAAGCCGTGACGCACAGAATATGAAACTAGCCATTTAGGAAAAATAAAGCTCCTGAAACAGAAACAAGGACATCGCAACGGACGAGGCTTTGCCGTGTCGTCGTGTGCATGGCGGTGTCGGGGGGTGGCTGTGGGGTGGCGTTGAGCAGGATTACCCCGCCACCCCCTCCCCCCCTTTTCCTGCTTACCACTCCCCCTCTCCGTTTTCCGCCCTGTCTCCGTCCACCCCATCCATAACCTTGACACCGCTCTCCTCGCATCTCCGATTCAGCCGATCGATTCATACCCCTTTTCAGGCCTTATTGGAGGAGATTTGAACGCACGCGCCCACATGTGGTGTGAAGCTGTGGGGTGGGGTGTGGCGGGGCCGGGGTGGGGCGCTGCCGTCAGCGTTTGCACGATAAATCCGTACACTGGAGCGGCGCCCCGTGGGCCATTCGTCTTGGACCTGGCGCGGGGCTCCCAACTGGAGCAGAAACACGCAGCCGGATACACGGCGGGGGCGTAAGGCACGTCGAGGGCTTCCGGCTCCGCCGGCCTCGGACGGCTGATAACGAAACGCCCTTAGAACCGTTTCCTGATGGTAACCGATTGTGAATTTCCTTCGTATATGACTTACAAATAAGTACCTTCACGATACAAACTAATCCTTTACTATTTTCAAGGCTTATCAGTGTGGCTAAAAGTATAGTGTCTAGAGAGAACCGCGGAGGGGATAAAAATGCTCTGCGAATCGGGTCATCCTAAGCAGACGCGGTGTCGCGTCCTCACGTCCACGTCTCTATTAGTTTCGACATCGCCCAGACACAATGGTGACCTTTGCCTCCTGTCCGCAGGACCTGGTCCGCTGGGCTCGGGCGCCGCGGGCTCGGGCGGGGGCGTGCAGCCCGCGCTGGCCGCCCCTTTCCCCTGGCTCGCCGCCGCCGCCTTCGACCCCGCCTCGCTGCAGAGGTCCGCCGCCGCCTTCGCCTCCCAGGTCGTCAAGGAACGCCTCTCAGGTGAGTGTCTCTGCCACGGCTGGCTGGCTGCCCCTCCCGCAGCCGTTTGTATGAATGTGGATAGAGAGGTTTTCTTCCAGCGCTGCAGAAGAATGAGAGGAAGACTTTGGCCCCCGCGCTGTTGCTGTTGTTGAAACTTTATAAACCTTTCACCTTCGCTGGGCCCCGTACGGCGGCAGCCTGGCGACGCCGACCGGTTCTTATCAGGAGGGCCCGGGTATGGGAAGTGCAGGG